AGTCCTCCATATTTTTTGGCACAACCATGTAAATGCATCCAAGGCAGCATCTATCTGTTGAATATGTTAATTTGTATGCTGACAATTCTTGGAGCCTTGTTTTTCGCCAACTCCTTCATATTCTTCACTGTGATATTACTGTTTATCCCAGACATTAAAATGTATGATTTGCTTACTTATAATTATTAAATAACTAATTAAGGTCTATTGATAAATTAATTAGATTAGTTAAAAATGAAATTTTAAGCCAGATTCTGACCAGTAGTTAAGCAAAAGCATTTAGAATTTAAATATTATTATTATTATTATGTTTTTCAGTTGATGCAACTCAGCCACCTTAAGAACACCAAATCTGGACCCTTCCCTAACCTGTGCCGTCCCCATCATCTTTTACATACTTGAGCCATATTGCTACAGTTACCATGTCAACTCATTTTGTTGAAGGTCTTTTTCTCTTATGCTTACCACTTACCTTTTCAAGTATGTCCTTCTCCAAAGATTGGCTCATCTTAAGAACGTGTCAAAAGTATGTGAGATGAAGTTTGACACCCAGTTTCCAAGACAAATTCTAGTTTCATTATCTCCAAAACACACCCGCTTGTGTTTAGGAGCAAGTATGTCCATCTGGAGATTAAAGTGCACCTGATCAGGCCATGGTCTTTGCAATTACTTTCTATGCATCAGAGAGCTAGACAATGTCCAAGAATGACAAAAGAATTAGTGTCTGAGTCATGGTGCTAGAGAAGAGTATTGAATATTCCAGGGACTGCCAAGAAAACTAATATGTCTGTCCTGGAGGGGGTGAAACCAAGACGCTCCTTGGAGGCAAGGATTTTGAGACTTCATCTCACGTACTTGGAACATGTTGGTAGGAGGAACCAATATTTGCAGAAGGATCTCACACTTGGAAGGGTTGAGGGACAACACAGAAGAGGAAGACTGCAGATGAGCTGGATTGACAGGATAACTGGGGTAATAAGAGTAGGTATGTCAGAGACAGTGAGATTTGGTCAGGGTAGAGCAAGATTCAGAGCTATTGTTCATAGGGTCACTATGAGTTGCAGTGGACTCAAGGTCACATAACAACAACAACACTGGGATTGTGTTAAACATGTAGATAGCTTTAAGTAGGATTCCCATTGTCACTACATAGAGTCTTCCTATCCATGAACAAGGACCATTTTTTCCATTTTAGATCTTTATTGTTTCTCACAAAAGCGTTTAGTAGTTTTCTTCGCAAAGGTGTTCTGTGTCTCCTGTTAGTTTATTCCTAAGTATCTCAATTTGTGAGAGGTTGTTGTAAATGGCATTGCTTTCTTATTTTCTTTCTGTGTTTTCTTTGTTACTGTATAGGAATCCTAGTGACTAGTGTATATTGATCTTGTATCATGGCACTCTTCTAAACTGGTCTACTAGTGCTACTGGTTTTTTGTTGAGTCCTTGGCATTTTCTGTGTGCATTATCATATCATCTACATATAGCAATAGTTTAACTATCTCTTTGCTGATCTCTATGCCTCTTATTCCTTCTTTGTCTTATTGACCTAGGAGTACTTCCAATACAATATTGAATAGAAGGGTTGCATGTTTTTGTTGAAATATTTCAATTAGTATTCCCTTAATTCCTGGGACATTATGTTTTGTCAGTACCTTCTGAGTAGCTCAAACTTCTACTTAAAATTACAATTGCATCTTGATCATATGCTACTTCCTGAATTGATTTCATATCAGCCAATTCTTTGTGGTACAATGATTATCAGATTTCTTTCTGGCTTCTTTTAATGCTTTCTGCATCATTCAAGATTTTTCCATAGCATTTTCCAGTATTGCAACTTGAGGTTTAAGTGTGTTCTCTAGTTCACTCAGAGAAATTCTGAACAAGTTCTTTATTATTTTCTGACTCTAGCTTTTTGCATATTTGGTTATAATACTTTGCATTGTCTCTTGAACTATCTTTTGAGATCTTATGCTTAACTCTTTTACTTCAGTATTTCTTCTCTTTGCCCATGCATCTCATAGTTCTAGTCAGAAAAGACTAGAAAAATTAAAAGTTGTCAAAAATAAAATGGAAAGCATAAAGAATTTAAAGAGTTCTGAAAATTGTGCTACAAATATGAAATCTATGAATGCTAAGCCTCATATTGTTGTTGTTTTCCTGTGACCTCGAGTTGACTACAACTCCTAGTGACTCTTTGACCAATAGCTCTGAACTCTGTCCATCTTGTACCACTGTCACAACCTCTGACACGTCTGTCTTCATTGCTACAGTCACTGTGTAAATCTAATCCAGAAAATTCTTCTCCTGTACTGACCCTCCACCCTTCCAAGCATTATGTCCTTTTCCAAGGACTGATCCCTCTTAGCAACATGCCCACAGAAGGTGAGATGGAATTTCAAAATCGTTACCTCCAAGGAGCAACCTGATTTCAATCTTTCAAGGATAGACCTTTTTATTCCCTTGGTAGTCCATGGTATGTTTAGTACTCTACTCCAGCACTTCAACTTAAAGATATCAATTCTTCTGTCATCTTCAGTCATTGCCCAGCTTTCATATGCATAGCAAGTAATTGAGAAGACCAGGGCGTGGCTTAGGTGCCCTTTAGTCTCTAGATTGACATTGTTGCTCTTCAGCACTCTAGAGAAATCCCTGTTAGCAGACTCTCTCAGTGTAACTTGTCTTTTGATTTCCTAACTGTTAGTGCCATGAGTCTTTACTGTGGATATGAGCAACAACTTTGTTAACAAACTCAGTCTCTTCTCCATTTATCCTAATTCTGCCAATTGGCCTAGTGGAGAGAATCCTTAGTTTTCCTAGTGTTGAGTTTTAATTCACATTAAAGATTGCAGTCCTTGACCTTCTACAGCAAATGCTTCAGGTCCTTCTCAGATTTAGCAAACAAGGTTGCGTTTTATGCATAACATAGGTTGTTGATGTAACTTACTCACCATAACATGGTGAGGATTCTTATAATATTCTTATAATAGCCATATACCTAGGCCCTATCTAAGATCTTTGAATAAAAAAATTCAGAGAAAGAAACATGTCATAATTTATATTATTAAAAATAAAGAAAATATTCACAGGTGATTCTGATCTACTGACACTATGCAAAAAAAATAATAATTGGTCTTGTCACATTTCACTGATGCATTATCACATTATCATCACAATGAACTTCACCATAGTTAACTGTGCTATTAAGTGTGGAATGTGTTGAGTTTGGTCATGTTTTAAAATGCCATTTCTGGTTATACTATTGTTTTGTTTTAAGTGAACTGATTTTCCCATGCCTTCAATTGAAAACAATAATTTTCTATGAGCACATGAGAAGTATCAATTTACTGCAGAGTATACCATCACCTATTGAAGTTAAAAGTCACTATTTTACCTCTTTAATGCTGACAAGGCATCTGAAGGGAGACCATTTATCTTTCCTGATAGTTTAGGACTGGAGAGACAAATGTATTGTCTCCTTGATGTACTATCACAACCAAATAAACAAATACAAATTGACTCACCTAATTTCTAAAGCAGTGGCACTTATAAAGAGAAATATTTGTGAACACAGAATAAATATATTACCTGTTAAAATATACACATAGAGTTTTGGAGCTTTGAGTAGAATAGCTATTTTGTTAAATTTTACAAAGGTTTATATTCTCTTAATTTACAGGCAGTATAAAAAATAAAAATTAAATAGAGGAAAGTATCCTTCCCCACCTTTCAAAGTTCAGCTAATAAATAAAAGGTTAAATGTATGAATAAACAATAAACTCTGTATTAGACTATCCACATAATGTTGAAAAGTTGGCTATTCAAGAGATTTTCAGGAACCTGCTAATTGCATGCCCACCATTCTTCTAAAGAACACCGGGTAGATTCAAACACCCTCTGAGTTAGCTGTGAAATTCTCTATGGGCTATGCCACCAAAACTCCCCTCTTCTTGTTGTTGTGTGCCATGGAGTCAGAACTGAGAATTCAGAGACCATAGTAAATCACACGGAAGGAGGTTGCCCATCTTTATCTCACCGAACAGCTGGTGGATTTGAACCATGTGCATTTGTGATTGCAATACAACTTCTTACCACTAGGCCACCTGAGCTGCACTAAATCTCCCTAGGAGTCTGCAATAAAGATACTGTGAAGCTTGGCTCTTTAAAGAGCTCCACAGGGAGAATCTGTTCTTTGCTTCTCTCTTTTGGTGCTACCAAAAATCCATGGAGTTCCTTGGATTTTAGTCGCATTGCTACTGTTTCTGAGATCACAGTCATATGATATTAACTTTGCTTGCATTTGTATTTGGCATGACTATTTTATAACCACACTACTCACCAGAATTTAAGGACTAGTCTAAACCAGAAGGGCCTCAACTAATTCTCTCTGTAAAGATCCCATTCCAAATAAGGCTGCAGTCACAAGCCAGAATCTTTTGGTAGAAAACAGTTCAATTTATAACAACTTTCATTTGCACAATGTAAAAAATAAATTGACAACTTACATTTGTTTTAAATACATTCTTTTTTTTTCACTTTTCTTACATAGCTACATTTATTTGCCTTAGGATCAATTGACTGTATATGTGTCCATGGTAATAATACCCTTCCTTATATGTGCATACTATTCTTTATTGCTGTTGTTAAGTATCATTGAGTCAAACATAACTCATAAAAAAAACTCAAATAAAACAAACAAAAAAAACCCCGATCAAACTAATTCATAGTCGACCCTTCACTGAGTTTTCAGATGATGCAAATCACATGGCAAGAGACTACCTGTCTTTTTCCTGCAGAGCAGTTGGTGGATTAGAACTGTGTATCTCATTGGGTTGATAACTCAACTAACCACTAAGTCATCAATAAATGCACAGAATGAAGCATAAGCGTTTTTGAAATGTATATTTTATCTATTAGACTAAATATGCCAAGTATATGTAGAATTAGTGGATTGTAGAGCCGGAAGGCGTACCTTCCCATTACCTTAGCTAACCTTCAGAGTTGTCATGGCCCAGCCTTGCACACTTCTCCAGCCTCTCTCAGAATATTCTTTTGATTTCTGGTTTCCTTCTGCTCCTTTTGCAAAGCAGGCTCTACTCAGCCCACCAAGTTCCTTTGTTAGCCGACCTCAGGGAGTATCCCTGGCTATTTTAAAGCAGCAGCTTCAGGTGCCAGGTCTCAGCTCCGCTGTCCCCTTTCCAGAGAGGACCCCACTACTAAGCTTTTATTCTCAAGTATATCACCACGCTAATTTATTATACAATATCACAAATGGAAACTATTTTTTTTGTGTTGTTGTTGTTTTTGTTGTTGTTAATTGCCATCGAGTCACCTGCGACTCATAGTGATCCTATATACAACAACCCTAAACCCTGCTCTGTGCTGTGCCAATCTTATTGTCTCTGACACTCTTTCCTCCAATACACCAGTCACTGAATCAATTGATATCATTGAAGGTCTTCCTCTCCTGCACTGTCCCTCCACTATCCCAAGCATGATGTCCCTCTCCAAGGATTGGTCCCTCCTTTCAAAATGTACAAAGTATGTCAGATGAAGCTTCAGCATCCTTGTCTCCAAGGAGCAGCCTGAACTCACGCTCTCTAAGATGAACCCGTTTATTTTCCTAGCAGTCAATGGTATATTCAATAATCTTCTCCAGCACCACAGCTCAACGACATCAATTTGCCTTCTATCATCCCTAGACATTGTCCAGATTTCTGATGCATAGCAAGTAATTGCAAAGACTATGGCCTGAATCAGATGCACCTTAGTCTCCAGACTGACATCGTTATTCTTCAGTACTTCGGAGAGGTCTGACAGTGGACTTTCCGAAAGCAGTGTGTCTTTTAATTTTCTGGCTGCTGGTAGCAAGAGTGTTGACTGTGGAGCCAAGCAAACTAAAACTGCTAACAATCTCAATCTCTTAACCATCTATCATGAAGCTGCCAATTGCCCCAAATGGTGAGAGTCTTTGTTTTCTTAATATTGAGCTTCAATTCATATTGAAGGCTGTAGTGTTTACTTTCTGCAACAAGTGTTTCAAGTCCTCCTCTGTTTCAGCAAGCAGGATTGTGTCATCTGCATAATGCATATTGTTGATGAGTCTACCTCCAATCCTGATGCCACATTTCTCCTCATAGAACCCAGTTTTATTTAGAGAGTGCTATATTATTCCATAGTCTAACCCCCAGGGCGGCAAAAGAGAAGACTCTCAAGGAAATGGACTGATACAATGACTACAAAAAATGTGTTTGCTTATGACAGAGATTATGAAGATGTCTCAGAATAGGGCAAGGTTTCTTTCTGTTGGTGAGAGGGTCCTATGAATCAGTTGACTCAACAACAAACAACAGTAGTCCTTCACTTTCTCTTATTTAGAGAAAGCTTTTGCATCAGGGATTTCCAACTTGTTTAATTCACATCACACTTAATGCAAAATAAATATTGATTCTTGTTGGGCTAGTGGATAGGAAATAATTGCATTGCCAATTCAAATACAGGTAGTTTGAATCCACCAGTTGGTCAGTGGGAGAAAGTTAAGCAATGTTATCCTGTGTAATTTACAGCCTCTGAAAATCCACTGGAGGATCAGCTACAATTCTGTTATGATTCGATGGCAATATTTTGGGGGTTTTGAAGATTTAAAACACTTTTTGCACATGGAATCTTAGCCTTGTTTGCTGCTGTTTCCTCAGGTTTCAACCAGTGCTTGGCATGTCATAGTCTATCATTATTTAGAAGAAAAAAAAATCTTAAAGAAAGCAAAGCCTTTTCTAATCTGGGCTCAGCTATATATTTAAAAAAATGACACTGAGTAAGTTATTTTATCTTTATTAGCCTCAATTTACTCGTCTGTAAGGACACTTTCAGAATTTTAAAATTAAATATAAAATGGATATAATTTCTAATTTTTAATGTGAGCCATATAATAATATTGATCACATATTGAGGAATTATTATAGAGTTCCAATCTAATATGAACATATGGAATTATTAAAGATTTAAATTATTTAAGAATAGCACCAGAGAGCCAGGAATGAAAATCTGAGGTAAGAAATCTAGCTTTACTAAATTTATGATACTGTCTATCTTGTCACTTTGCGCTTTTGGAATTGTAAAAATATTTTCCTCTTCATTCTCAACATCATAAATGTTAATAAATCTCAGTCAGAAGAGTGATTCTTTAAAATTTGCCTTGGAAAACAAGAAGCATACAAATAATTTATTATGTCCTTATTTAATTTTTCAGTATTCCATTATAATATAGGTATGTGTCTATTTTGTGTGTGTGTGTGTGTGTGTATACTCTATTCTTTCAACTTTATTCATTTTTACTTTTAATTCATCATCATTTCTGATTATTTTCTTCCAATATTGAATTGTCTTCAGCTGTAAGAAAGCCTGGGGCATCACTGGCCACAAGCTCAGTCAAATTCGATAGAAACAACCAGAATCTAAAATTTGACAGGGGCTCATTTAACCAGAGCTGCCTCACCTGGAAGATTTTTAAATTTGGTAACTGTAAGTAGGGCATGGGTAACTCTGCCAGCTTTCCTTATGCAAGTACGTAGCCTAACTTCAAATACAGTGACCTAACTCCACTGGTGGAAATCAGAGTATAATAAAACTAAGAAGCTTAACTAGAATGGATTTTAAATGAATTACATTTAACTCCAACAGTTTTAACTTGGTCATAATCAATGTTATTAGAAACAATGTGACATTATTACAAGTTGCTGTTATGTAACGTTGAGTTGGAAGCTTCAGGGGGGTTTTCAGAGGCTGTTACTCACCCAAAACGTGATTTCCCATCTTTCTCCTGTGGAGCCGTGGGTGCATTTGAACAGTCTGCATTTAATGGTATATATTGGTAGTACTTCTCCTTACTACTACTTACTACTAAAGCAGCAAGCTTTTTAACGTAACTAAATTATCTTAAGTTAGGAATAGAACAAAAAAGAACGTAAATAATTCTGGTAACCAAGCTATTTATCAACTAATAGCCTTCTTAGATAGGTCTACTCTTCATTATTTCATTTTATTCTGAATCATTATATCAATCTACCAAACAACTTTGCCTGAATAAATATTAATGACAATTCTTTATTCCAACAAAAAATTCTCCCACAAAATGAGTAGTAGATTCAAACCGCCAACCTTTGGTTAGCAGCCCAACATGTAACATACTACGCCACAAAGGCTCTTTAACCGAGCAAGTCCAAAAAAATTCAGTAGAAAAATTTAAAATAGGCTTCAAGGTTTGAAAATAGTTACTTGTTTTCTGAGTCCATCTGTGCAATGGCCTGCCCTCTGGAATCTAGATGTTGGCCAGGCCTTTTGAATTCTGATTGAATGTTCCTTAAGCTTTGTCTTCCAGGCCCACTGAGATAGAAATTCTGCTTTCACAGGTTGCTCAAAGTCATTAACCAGACTAGTTTGCATATGGTAAAATCCTTTTTCTGACCCTTACACATGGCAGCTAGGCACATTTAACTTTGGACAACTCAATTCCTCGAATTTCCTACAGAAAGACTTCATACCTGAGTTGGTGAAAATCTTGAGGAGGGACAAGTATGGAACGCTCAGCACTCTTATGTCTTTCTTTTTGTCTCAGGTAGGTGTTAGGAGATGGGACTTGCCAGATGAACTGGGGGATCTCTGGCTAACAGTCTGCCAGCATGTGGGTATGCTGGATTTTTAAATGTTGTAGAGCCCAAGGGCCTGCAGCCATCTGGCTGCTTTTAATTGTTTTTGGTCAAACATTCTTCTAGGTGGTATAGCACTGGTCTGTCAATTTGCTGTACAGAAGTAACTCATGGTTGCTGTGATGCTGAACACTGTGACCCTGATGTGTCAAATGTGATATTGGTCACCCAAAGCAGACAGTATTTGGTGGAGCTCCCAGATTGAAACAAGTTTGGAAGCAGGAGTGACATCCACTTCCGAAATAGCTTGCCTCTCTGGAAACCCTATGAACTTGGAGAAACAAAGAAAGTTATACAAGTGTTCAAGTCTTTTATTCATAGGGTCACTATGAGTTGCCTATGACTCGATGGTATTTAACAAACACAACACTTGAAACCTAGGAGCATCACCCTTTAAGACTCAAAAGACCACTGCCTTACCCTTGGTTCTGCAGCTCTTGGAGCTGTTTCAGGGATGGTCCTTTTTTTTTCTAATTTCATAGAAGACAACAGATATAGCTCTTTTGGCCTGTTTCCTAGTTGTAGAATCCGAAGAGGCAAAAAGATAGCTTTCTTTCCTTTCTGCCTTCTGTGTTTCCTTCAGTCTAAACTGGTAGATTTTCTGCTGTCGTAATTGTTAGACTCATCAGTCATGAACGTCATCTCGTTAATTAAATTGTGCAGTCATATCCTTCATGAACATTCTAGGTCATTTGTTCTCAGTTTTTACAATAAAACATCCAAATCTTTAAGTTGTGTTCTCATGTTGCACATTTTCTTTTTAATTCCATCTCTTTGTATGCATGTTTTCTAACAAAAAGCAAGGAGAAATCATACAGTTCATTTAAGATATTTTGCATAGAAATCTCATCAGCCAGACATCCAAATTCGCCACTTAAAATACACCACTACTTTCCAACAAATATTTAAATATTACATCTCTTTGACAATGAAAAGCATTATATGTCGTTCAATATCCGATCACCATTGTATCTGATTCAATATCTGATCACTCATCAGAAGCACTTTTTAATGTCAAAATAAAGAATATTGTTGTATTTTAGTAGTCATTTTAAACAATCTTGACTTTGCCAGAGAATGCTGGGACTACAACTTTTCAAAAGGTTACATTAGCAATAACAAGTAGATAGTTCTTATCTTGATTTCAAAACTAATGTTGTTGTTGTTATGTGCCATCGAGTCGCTTGGGACTCATAGCGACCCTATGTACAACAGCCCTAAACTCTGCTCTGTCCTGTGCCAATCGCATTGTCTCTGACACTCCCATCGCGATTATCCCGGTCACTGAATCAATCCATCTCATAGAGGGCCTTCCCCTCCTGCGCTGTCCCTCCACCCTTCCAAGCATGATGTCCTTCTCCAAGGACCAGTCTCTCCTCACAACATGTCCAAAGTATGTTAGACGGAGCCTCAGAATCCTTGCCTCCAAGGAGCCACCTGGTTTAACCCTTTCCAGGAAGAATCTGTTTGTTTTCCTAGCAGTCCATGGTATTATCGTGTTTCTTTTTTTTTATCTATTTCTCTGATTTATTTAGACATATTTATTTACAAAGTTTGGATATGTTGTTTTTCACAAAAGATCCTTCCTATTTCCTTCACTCCATCCACTCATCGAATTATGCAACCCTGTGATTAACACTCTACCCCTAAATCTTCACCCCTATTCCTACCCTCCCCCCTGCCTTGGAACTTTATACTCATTCTACAGTAATTTTTTTATACAGATTTTGTCCTTGTGGGATTGAGCAAGTTCATTCAGCATAATGCTTTCCAGTATCTCCCAAGTTAAGTAATAATTTACAACATTGCTCCTGCGTGCTGCATTTTATTCCATTGCATGAATGTATGTATGTATGAATCTGTGTTTGGACACCTGGGATGTTTCCTTGTTCTTGTGATGGTGAATAATACTGCTATGAACATTGGTGTACAAGTTTCTCTTTAACCTTCAGTTCTCATTTTCTTAGGGGATATTGCAAGCAGTGGAATAGCCGGGTCATATGTGCAGCTTTTTGAGGAAGCGCCAAAGTGCCTTTCAAAGTGGTTATACCATTGTACAATCCCACCCACATCCTCTCCAACATTTATTGTTTGCTGTCCTGTTAAATTTTGCCACAGTGAGATGGTATCTCATTGTGGTTTTGATTTGCATCTCTCTTATTGCCAGTGATTTGGAGCATTTCTTCATGTGTCTGTTTGCCATTTGAAAATCTTCCCCTGTGAAGATTCTTTGTAGTATTTTGTAAACTTTTGATATGAGACCCTTGTCTGAAATTATACTGCCAAATGTTTTCTTTTTCCCCAGTCAGTAGGGTTTTTTTTTTACTCTGTTGGAAAAATTTTTTGATGCACACAGGTATTTGAAATTTAGAAGGTTCTATTCATCAATTTTATTCTCTCCAGAGTAAGCATTTCTGGCTAAGCTTGATCCCAGTTTGTTTCTGATGAACTTTACAGTTTTGGACTTTATTCCCAGGTCTCTGATCCACCTTGAGTTGATTTTTGTGTATGGAGTGAGATGTGGATCCTGTTTCAGCTTTCTGCAGGTAGCAGTCCAGTTTTGCCAGCACCATTTGTTGAAGAGGTTGTCATTTCCTCATTTGACAGGTTTAATTTCCTTGTCAAACATCAGTCAACCATAGATAGCTGGGTGTACTTCTGAGTTCTCAATTCTGCTTCACTGAACTATGTGCCCGCCATTGTGCCAGTACCATGCCGTTTGGGTTACTACTACTGTGTAGTAGGTTTTGAGGTCAGGGAATGCTATATCTCCCACTTCATCTTTGTTTCTCGGAAGTGCTTTGCTTATTTGGGGTCTCTTGTCTCTCCAAATAAACTTGACTATTTCCCTTTTGATCTCCTTGAAAACTGAATTTGGTATCTGTATTAGGATTGTATCGAATATGTATATTGCTTTTGGTAAGATTGTCGTTTTCACAATATTGAATTTTCCTCTCCAGGAACAGAGCATATTTTTCCATTTCTTCAGGTCTTTTATTGTGTCTTGCAAAAATATTCTGTAGTTTTCTTTGTATAGGTCTTTTGTATCTCTAGTTGAGTTCACTCCCAAGTATCTCAATTTGTGTTTGGCTGTTGTAAATGGTATTGCTTTCTCTTGGTTTCTTTCTCTGAGTTCTCTTTGTCACTGTAGAGATATCCCTCAGATTTTTGGATATTGATCTTATATCCTGCCACTCGACAAAATTAGCCTACTAGCTCTAACAGGTGTTTTGGTTTTTTATTGCTCTAACACGTTTTGGAGGTTTGTTGTTTTTTTGTGGGATTTTTTTTTTATTCTTTGGGGTTTTCTATGTACACTATCATATCATCTGCATATAGTGATGTTTTAACCATCTCATTGCTGATCTGGATGTCTTTTATTTCCTTCTTTTTTCATATTGCCTTAGCAGGCACTTCGAGTGCAATATTAAATTGACGTGGTAACAGTGGGTATCCTTGTCTGGTCCCTGTTCACATGGAAAATATTTTTAGTCCTCCTTTGAGAATGATGTCGGCTCTTGGTTTTAGATACATTATGCTGAGGAAATTCCCTTCTATTCCAATTTTGCAGAGTGTCTTAATCAGGAAGAGGTGTTGGATTTTGTCAAATGTCCTTTCTGCATCAATTGCTAGGATCATATGATTCTTATTATTTATTTTGATAATATGGTGAATTACATTGATTGGTTTTCTTATGTTGAGCCATCCTTGCATATCTGTTAGGAATCCCACTTAGTCATGGTGAATTATTTTCTTGATGTGCTCTTGTATTCTATTGGCTAGGTGGTAAGGATTTTTGCATCTGCATTTATGAGAAATATTGGTCTGTGGTTTTCTTTCTTGGTAATGTTTTTGCCTGGTTTCGGTATTAGGTTTACGCTTGCATCATAGAATGATTCTGGGAGTGTTCCTTCTTTTTAAATTTTTTGAAATAGTTTAAGGAGAATTGGTGATAGATCCTCTCTGGATATTTGGTAGAATTCAGCTGTGAAGCCATCTGGTCAAGGACTTTTCTGATGGGGAAGTATTTCTATGACTTTTTCAATTTCTTCTTTTGTAATGGGTCTATTCAAGTGTTCTATATTTGTCCTTGTCAATCTGGGTAGGGCATGAGTTTCAAGGAATTTGTCTATTTTCTCTAGATTTTCAAATTTATCAAAGTATAGCTTTTCATAGTATTCTGATACTATCAATTTAATTTCCTCTGGTTCTGTTGTGATGTCACCTCTATCATTTCTTAATCGAGTTATCTGTGTCTTCCCTTCCCCCCCCCTTTGTTAAGTTTTCCAGTAGTTTGTCAATTTTATTGACTCTTTTGAAAAACCAGCTCCTAGTCTTATTGATTATTTCAATTTCTTTCTCATTGATTTCACCTCTCACCTGATAATTTATTTTCTTCTAGAACCTGTAGGATTAGATTATTGTTCTTTTTCTAGATGATGAAGGTGTTGAGTTAGATCATTGATTTTTCTTCTTTCTTCCTTTATTATGTGTGTGCCTACTGCTATGATCTGTTCCCTGAAGACTGCCTTAGCTATATCCCAGAGGTTTTGTTTGGTATGTTGTATTTTAATTTTCTTTTGTTTCAGGACCTTTATTTCTTTTATAACCCAATTATGTTGTAGAAGAGAGTTATTTAGCTTTCACATAGATGATTTTGTAAGCTCTATGCTCCAGTGGTTAATTTCTCGTTTTAAGGCATTGTGATCTGAGAAGATACGTTTTATTATTTCAATGTTTTTTTTTTTAACTTGGGAGGCTTGCTTTGTGTCCTAGTATGTGATCAATTCATGTGAACACATCATGAGAAGAAAGTGAATTGAGTTTTATTCGGATGCAGTTTCCTGAATACATCCACTACGTCGAGTTGGCTGATTGTGTAGTTCAGGTCTTCAGCATTTTATTTTCTTTTGGGTTGACCTATCCTTTGGTGATAGTGGTGTGTTGAAATCTCCTACCACTATTGTAGTGTTGTCTAT